AGATCTCACAAGACAATCTGCCTTTTGATTTCAGCTCTCAAACATAAACAAGTGTCCTTTTCCCAGTCTACTTAGTGCTATGTTTTTCCACTACATCTCATGCCTGAATGAAGTCTATCTAACATGCTTATTTTCTCCATAAGGCACATCATAGCTTCTTGCACTTAAGAATGCTACAGAGCACTTCAGCACTTAAACAGTGGAGGCCACATTAAACAGTGAAACTATCAACAAAAATACTAATAAACCACAAAAAGGACAATCGTTAGGAAGTGGAAGAGCTAAAACAAGAAGGCAGAGGATCGCCTTGTTCAACCTCAGTTGTTGAAGCAATGACTCAGTATTTGCTAATTCAGCATTCACAGCGACTTTAGAGAACACAGCTACTATAAATATAGGGAACCAACTGCAATTTCAATAAATCTAGAATGTCTTAAAAGGTTACAGTGTCGAAACATAAATCAAAGAAAAGGCTAACACCTTTGTCTGACAAAGGAAGTATTAAGAAGAGTCATGAGTTTAAATTAGACTATTTGGCATTAGATAAAAGTGACATTTCTCATGTAACATAATTGTATATTTCTTGTGAGAAATGGGAAAATTTTAAATAGACTCTACTTAATATTTCTTTATAATTCAAAATTAAATCAACATACTGCCTGTATTTTCAACTGAATAACAAATCAATTTTAGGTAAAAAACAACTCATTAGAACAACCCTAAAAAGTCACAAATATTCATCACATAACCAACCCAAATAATTTGGTTTTCCTTACTTGTAGCCAAGCTGGCGACAGATCACAGCTGCATCTTTATCACTCCACCCATCATCACAAATTGTTCCCCACTGGCCGTTGATAAAAACCTCCACTCGTCCTTCTTTCTTATTTTCTCCATCCATCAGTCTGATAGGAAAACCTAAGTCACAATTCAAAATGTCAGAAAAGCCAAATCAAGAAAACTGATGTTAAAGCATGACAAACTTTATAAAATACAATTCATTTTAAAAATCAACTATAAAATCAGCTGGGCAATTCAATAGAGAAGAGGTGTAAATAAAAAACTGTCCCCACTTTTGCTGTACCTTTTAAAGCCCTGAAGTCAGAGTGCTCAGTGTTTGCTTTTGTATCCCAGCACTTGGAACAGCGCCTGGCATACAGAAGACATGCAATAGCTGTTTGTTGAATAAATGAATGAATGAATAGCACTGTAAAATTGTGAATGATTTTATCACCACTAACATAGTAAAAGACATTTCCTTAGAACTGTTTTGTTTCATGTCTTTCATTTATCTGTGAACATAGCTAGAAATTTATATCCCAAGGCTAAGGTTTTGGGGAAAAGTATAAGTAGATACACCTTTGGAATGCATGGGTAACTTGTATTCCAGAGAGAAAAAGGAAGGCAGTTAAGGAAAATTTCCATAGCAGGCTTTCTATTTACTAGTGATTCGAAAGGAAGTGCTTAACTCGTAAAACTACTGAGATTTAAAAGTTGAGTGGTAAGTAAGAACAGCACGGTGACTATAGCTAACAATACTGTATTGTATATTTGAAAGCTGCTAAGAGAGTAGATCTTAAAAGTTCTCATCACAATTAAAAAAAGCTTTTTGTAACTGTGTTAAGTGACAGATGTTAGACTTACGTGATCATTTCTCGGTGTATACAACTATCAAATCATTATGTTGTACATCTGAAATTAATATATATCAACTATACCCAGAAAATTGAAAAATAATAATAAATAAATAAATCATTCAATTTTTTTTTATAATTGAAAAGCTGATCTCTAGCAAATTGAAGTTATACAAATGAAGTGACTTGTAGAGTCGCACACATTTCTATTGACTCCAATAAATACGGTGAATTGTAACTGGAAGTCCTCACTGTAGCTTGCACACTATCATGGGTTGAATTGTGGGGTCATTAGGGTGGACCCTAGTCCAGTACTACTGGTGCCCTCATAAAAAGGGAAAATTTGGACACAAAGTAAAGACAGTGTGAAGAATTACAGGAAGAAGATGGTCATCTACAAGACAAGGGGAGAGAGGCCTAGAATAGACCCTTCCCTCCCAGCCCTGCTGACCCCTTGATTTTGGATTTCTAGTCTCCAGAACTGACAAAATAAAAACCTGTCATTTAAAAACCCGATCTCTGGTACTTCGTTGCACAGCCCAAGCAAACTAATACACGTATTTTAGATTACCTAGTTATTGGAAGAGTCTCCAGCTTCCGAACACCAAAGATTTACTGATAGGGATGTAGGGAATACAAAGAAGCAAGTGAAATTATCAGAACTAAGAAGGTAGAGTAAGCAGCTAATAAACAAAGCATCACTCAATATATGTTTAAACCAACATACTGAAATTAATAGATTGACATTTGTTAACTGAAGGAAAACACTAATGGCAAGATGGACAAATTCTATTGATTCTTCTAATCCATTTATGCTTCTGATTCCTTCTTTGTTAGACCCCAAGTTGCTGGCTCTGTAGTTTCAGTCCCTGATTATACTCACTTCATGGGACAGGCATCCTAGTAGAATCAATATAGCAAAACCAAAATTTACAAATGCTTATGGAGTGCCTATACTATGCACTGCTTACATTAGCTAAAAAACTTGGGATTTTTGCTATGTCACAAAATACAGTATATTTGAAACTTTACATTTCTTATTAATGAATCTGAAATTTTGGGTTCTTTGTAAGAGGGCTAGGTAAAAAAGTGATCCTCGAAGAGTAAATCAAAACAGATGAAATTCTTTTCTTAAAAGTTTTCGATTTTACATTTTTGGATCTTTGGCCTAATATTAAGAAACCATGCACACAGAATTAGATCTCCACATTTCATCCCAGTTGTTTTATGGCAGTTTTTCATACACCATAAAAATTTAAATGATAAAGTACTTTTAAAGCCTATGTTGCATGTTTTATAAAAATAACACATAAATACTTCTGAACCTAAGTTTAGCGATTCATTTTACAAAGTCATTGTATTTTCAATGCTTGAAGGGAAACTGAATGACAAAAGCCATTCTATCAATACCACCTCACTGTTTAAGTTCGTTCTGTTATGTAGCAATAATATACATGATATTTTATTTCTAAAATCTTAAATAAATATAAAATGCTTGGAAAAAATAAAGAGTTCTAGTATTTTTAATTGTATATCTCAGCCTTTCACTACCAATAGTGCTGTCTTTAATTTTTCTGTAACAGTATTTTAATATACTATTTTTTATACAATTTTTTTTGAAAATCTAGCATAAATGTAAATTAAAAGTCAAAGTTTATACTGTAAGATTAAGTAACAGTCAATCTCACTGTGAAAGAAATCTGATAGGATTTACTACTCAGAAGTTAGAATTAATGCAGTATTACAACAAGAAATCTACATATTTACCATCCCACAAATTTCCCCCTTAATACACAGACATTAAACGAATTCTTCCTAAAATTACTTTTATTCACTTAGAATAGTGCTTTTGAGCATTTTATTTACCACACACCCAAATACAGAAAGTGTCTACTGAACTATTACTAATTTTGAGAACAGCTTCATTCACATGTAAAATTAAGGTTCACAAATTACACTTCAAATAGTTGAAAACAGTAGTCCAACAGCTCATTATCGTAGTGCCAAAAAAGTAAAAAAACTTAACTGTTTTTAAAATGCTATTGTTATATCACTCTTCTACAATCTCCTTCTCTAAGCTTCACTTTCAAATGTGCAGTCCTTTTTGATGAGTGGGAAAGTAATGATCTCTTTGAAGGAATAAATGGTAATGTGATTCTATTCCAAAAGTATATTTGGCTCAGACATAATGTTCCTCAGACAAATGAATTGTTAATAGATATATTACTAAAATTAGGATCACAGAGATTCATAAAAATGGTCACATGTTTTATTAATAATTACCACCGTCAGCTTTTTAAATTTTTTAAAGATGTATGTAGAATTCTAGAATTAAACAGATTTTCAGGGGAACTTAAAAGATTAGTTGTCTTCATTATATGCATATATTTAACCAAATAGGCCTTCAGAGAATTTAGATTATGGCATTTTGTATAGTTTTTATGGTATTTCATCACCTGAAGTATTTACAGTACAGTATTTATAGTATTTTATCACACTGATAGAGTGTGCCTGAATAGATCACTCCATGTTCCAAATACCTGCTACCAGGGGGGTAAGAGGATCCATTCCCAGCAAAAAGAGAACTATCTACCCAAACCACATGTAATCATTCATTACAAACCCTGGAAGGATCATAAATCTTCCATAAAAAGAAAGAAGCAAGGGAAGAGAATAAATGAAAAGACACAAAATTGGAAGCATGTCCTATAAGAGATGGAGTAAAATGTTGTATATCTAACTTCGTATTATGTTGATTAGTGCAGTGAGTCACCATCATGTCAGTTTAGAGTATACTGAGGAACCATCCATATACTCTGACAACCTCAAATATACAATATGGTTAATACTGTGGAATTCCATAAGTTCTGTTATTTTATAACTGAAGTATTTAAGCTTCACAGTCTCAAAACGGGAGGATACAAAGGGGGTTGATTCAGCCCTGAGGGGAAAAGAAAGGACCACCTGTGGTTACTTAAACATCTATCCACAAAAATACATGTGTAGATATAAGAGAACTATGGTAGTGTCCCAGCAAGTCTTTTGAATACTTCCCTCTGTATTTTTCATTCATACTTATTTTGTCCTCCTCACGACATGTTAAGTCTGTCAAAGACATGTAGGTGCACTCTGCTCACAAAAGAATCTTTTCCCACAAATATCACGAGACTGTTAGACGAGCTTTCTCACCTTCTATCCAATTACAAGTCGGAAGAAATTTGGAACTGGGGAGTAGGAAAGGACCTTGATGGGTTTCTAGAGTAACAGGGTATCTTAGAAAAATGGGTAGGCAATTTGCTCCAGATAATCCATTAAGAGACCTGAAAAACCTAGGTTAGGACACGGTAGTGGATTGGATGGCTGGTGACCAGTGATTAACAAGGGCTCAGGAATAAAGAAGAAATGAATTATGGGGGGTATGGAAGAGAGAGTTATTGTTTTGTTCTGATTTTTTGTAAAATTCTGTCTCAAATCATTCATCAGAATGTAAGGTAAAGGAAAGTCAGAATAGGTGACCAATGAGTTTGGGAATGGGTATTGCAGCTTCATCTTTCAGATATGCATGATTATAAATATTTTTAGTGAGAAAC